TAGATAGAAGCCCTTTGTCTGAGGGACAATCAGCTAAAATTTTTTCCAAGTTTGTTGGTTTTCTTTTGACTCTGCTGGTGATTTCTTTAGATGTGCAGAAGCTTTTCAGTAATGGTTGATTTCTTAATGCTAGCCATTCTTACTGGGGTGAGATGAAATCTCAGTGTTGTTTTAATTTGCATTTCTCGAATGACTAATGATGTTGAACATTTTCTTATGTATTTATCTGCCATTTATATTTCTTTATCTCAGAAGTGTGTGTTCATCTCAGATGCCCATTTTAGGATTGGGTCTTTGAATTTGTGGGGAGCTGATGTGTTTTTTATTCTTTATATGTTTTACATAGGAGACCTTTTTCCGAGGGACAGTCAGCTAAAATTTTTTCCCAATTTGTGGATTTTCTTTTTTACTGTGCTGGTGATTTCTTTAGATGTGCAGATACTTTTCAGTAGGATGAGATCCCAGTTGTTGATTCTTTGAAGTATTTCACAGGCAGTTTGGTTTTTGTTCATGAACTCTTTACCTACCCCTATGCCTTCAAACTGTTTTCCTACTTTCTCTTCCAATATGTTTAGTGTTTCTGGTTTAATATTGAGATCTGTTATCGATTTTGACTTTCGTTTGGTGCATGGTGATAGACTTGGATCTATTTTCAGTCTTTGGCAGGTAGCAAGCCAATTTTTCCAGCACCATTTATTAAAGAGGCTGTCGTTCTTCCAGGGAGTTTGATTGGCCCCTTTATCAAAGATTAGGTGGCTGAGTGTGTTTGTGGTTGTGTCTGGGTCCTCCAGTCTGTTCCACTGATCTTCCTGTTTTAAGGTATAGTTGAAAAAGGTTAATGATATTTAGCTGAAAGAATCAGGTGATATGTGTGTTTCTGTATATGTTCACACTTTTAAAAATATTCGTATACATGCATTCCCCCATGAACACAATTTCTTCTTGTTCAGTTTATAATGATATTAATTTCACTTGGAGTATTCATGTACTTTTTCAGCTACAGCACTTTCTTTTGCTTATTCATTTACAAGAGATTGAAAAATTATTCTTTCTAGGGTACTTGCATACACCAAAAATGCCTATTCATATTGCCTCATCAAAATTGTATAGTACATTAAAACAAATGAAAACCAAAAATTTGAACTAATACAAAATATCCAGTGTCCTCAAATTCCAAAATCACAAGGAAAGCATTTAAAATTGCTACGTCCAAACACCACCTCATTCTTTCTTAAAATTTTACTAGTGCCTATTAACTTTATAGACTATTGGGTGCCAATGTGTATATTTCGATTGTATCTATCCCCCATTATCTTCCCTTATACTCCTCACCCACTTCCCCCCATTTCCCACCTCTTGTCTAATAATAGTCTTTAACTTTCATGGCATTTTAAAATTCCACATATTAGGGAGAACATACAATATTTGTCTTTGTAAGTTTGACTTATTTCACTTCAGACAATGAACTCTAGTTCTACCCATTTTCCTGCAAATGACAAAACTTTGTTCTTCTTTATGGCTAAACAATACTCTATTGTGTGTGTACATACCACATTATCTTTATCTGTTCGTCTGTTCGTGGGCACCTAGGGTGGTTCCATATCATGGCTAATGTGAATTAAACCCCCAGTAAACATGCGTATGCAGGTATCCCTTCAGTATACTGACTTTAATCCTTCATGTATGTACCAAGCAGTGGTATAGCTGGATAAAGTGGCATTTCTATTTTTAATTTTTTGAGGAATCTCCATACTGATTGCCACAGGGACTGTACTAATTTACCTCCCATCCAGCAGGCTAGAAAAGTTCCTTTTTCCTTGTATGTTCTCCAGCAGTTATCATTTTTTGTATGCTCGGTGATGGCCATTCTGACTGGGATGAGATGGAATCTCAGTGTAGTTTTGACTTTCATTTCCCTGATGCCTAAAACCCTTGAGCACTTTTTCATACATTATCGGTCATTTGTATGTCTTCCTTTGAGCGATGTCTATTCATTTCTCATTTATTGATTTGGCTGTTTGATTTCTTAATGTTAAGTTTTTAAAGTTCTTCGTATTTTCTAGATATCAATCCTCTGCCAAGAGAGTAGCTAGCAGATTTTCTCCCATTCTGTCATCCGTCTCTTCAGTCTGTTAGCTGTTTTCCTTGCTGTGTAGAAACTTTTTAATTTGATGTCCCATTCGTTGACATTTGATATTATTTCCTGTGCTATTGGGGTTCTATTAGGAAGTCTTTGCCTATACCTGTGCCTGTGGCTTCAGTGTGTTTCACCTGTTTTCTTCCAGCAGTTTCAACATTTCTGGTCATACATCTCAGTCTTAGATCCATTTTGAACTAATTGTTCTACCACCGAGAGATAGGGCTATAGTTTCAGTCCCTGACATATTGATATCCTCTTTTCCCAGCATAATCTATTAAAGAGATTGTCTTTTCCCCAGGGTTTATTTTTGTGTGGTTGGTTTGGTTTGGTCTTAGTTTGCTTTTGCTTTCTGTGTGAAGAATCAAGTGGCTATAGTTGGGTGGATGTTTCTGTGTCCTCTGTTCTAGTCCATTGGCCTGTGTGGCTGTATCTGTGTCAGCAACAAGCTGTCTCTGTTACTTTGGCTTGGTAATATAATTTCAAGTTGGGTATTGTGATGACTCTAGCCAGCCTTGCTCTTTTTGTTTAGGGTGACTTTGGATATTCTGGGTATTTTGCTTCCATATGAATTTTAGGACTTTAAAATTTTTTCTGAAAAATATAGGTGGTATTTTAATGAGGATTACATTGAATCTGTAGATCACTTTTGGTAAAATGGCCATTTTAACATTAATTTTGTCGATCTGTTAACATGGGAGCTTTTTTTCTCATCTTCTAGTGTCTTCTTCAATTTGTTTCTTCCATACTCTCTAATATTCTTTATAGATGTCTTTAATGTCCTTCGTTAAATTGATCCCTAGGTACTTTTGTAAGCTCTTGTGAGTGGCATTGTTTTTCTGATTTTTTTTCTCAACTAGTTCCTTATTGGTATGTAGAAAAGCTATTAATTTTTAAATGTTGATTTTGTACCCTAACCTCCTCGTTCTTTTTTTCAATATGTTCTATGTGTTTTTATTCTTTCTCTTTTTTTTGAGATAGGGTCTTGGTATGTAGTTCAGGCTGTCCTTGAACTCATTTTGTAGTCCATGCTGGCCTCAAACCCAAGATGATCTTCTGCCTCCGCTTCCTGAGTGCTGAGTATACAAGCGTATGCTGCCACACCTGGCTATTTATTATTTTTTCCTAGTACATGTTTGCAGTATGTAGTGGTTACATTCCTTATGAGAAGTTGGTGCAAGTACATAACACATCCCAATTGGTTTTTTGTCTCCTTTCTCTCTCCTTCCTCCCTCTCCCTCCATTTCTCCATCCCCTTCCCATTTGAACTACTTCCTACTATCTTTTATTTCCCTACTATCTTTTATTTTGCTCTTCATTTATATTTTGGTTTTCTCATATAAGAGAAAACATGTGATATTAAGCTGTGTGTCTGAATTATTTCAGGTAATTGTTTTTCTTTCAGTATTATCATTCAAGATTGTGGTTGAAATTTAAAGATAACAATACACAATGTATTAACCCCTGATACCCTGATATTATCTTGTTTTGAAATTTTGTTTTTTTTCCTCTTTAAAATAAAAAAATGCAAAAAAAAGAGATGGTGGTTGAAGGCAATTTTTTTTTTTTGGTATTACAATTTACTGATAGTTCGACACTATGAAACAGTGCTTCTATTTGCTTAGCTTAATGAAAAGCTAAGTAGATTTTCCAGAGGCTAGCCACAGAACTATACTTTTCATTGTGTAATATTTTATGGAAAAATATATTCTGTGCTCCACTTCAAAACGTATACATTAGAATCCATGTGTTAGTGTGTAAGATATAACACTTTTGCTTGTATGTTATTTTGGCTCAGGTTTATAAATACTCAAATGTTCTATGGCTTTACAGGGTTCAAAATTATGGATAATAATGGAATACCTAGGTGGTGGTTCAGCACTGGATCTTGTAAGTATTTCAAAATGCACATATTCACCCATACGTTTTTTGTCTTAATTAAATTAAGCAATGACATTTGGGCAAGCTAAGTGGTTATTTTAGTTAATATGTTTAAGTTAAATCCTTTCATCAGGGCTACTACTCTGATATAGATACAGCTGTATTGCAAACTTGAGCATGTTGCTGCTAGTCTGAGAGTTTGGAAGAAATGCAAAGAGCTTAATAGAATAAAGTCCCTCAAAGTATGAGTGGGTATATACCAATCGCTGTCAGTTTCCAGTAATGCTGAATGTTCTTAGATTTTTAAAAATATATAATTGAGATAGCTGTCACTCAAAATAATTATAAATTGAATGTTTGGGTCCCTTAAAATTCCCGTGTTGAAATCTTTTCCCCTGCTGTGATAGTATTAGAAGGCGGGGACTTTGGAAGGCAACTAGGTCATGGGGATAGAGCCCTTAGGAATGGTAGCAGTGTCTTCAGAAAGGAAATCTCAGAGAGCTTGCTGGCTCCCTTTCCACCATATGTGGCCACTTTGAGAAGATTGCTGCCTGGAAACCAGGAGGAGTGCTCTCACCAGACACCCATGTTCTGGCACCTTGATCTTGGACTTCCCAGCCTCCACAACTGTGAGAAATCAGTGTTTGTTGTTTAAGTCACCCAGTCTGTGGTATTTTGTTACAGAATCCTGAAGTGACCAAGACATTGATTCTAGGGGCTCGACCGGGAAGGCTGATAGACACAGTTTTGTGCAGAGCTCTCTCTGCCCTTCTATAGGTCATGTAGAAGTATGATGTCTTGGGTTTCCTACAAAGCAAAGAAGTTGCACCAAAGGGCTGGGGTGTGGCTCAGTGGTAGAGCACTTGCTTGCCTTGCAGTAGCACGGGGTTTGATCTTCAGTAACACAAAAACGGAGAGGTGGAGGAGAAGAAGGAGCAGGGAAGGGGAGGAGGGAGGTGAAGTTGTCTAAGTTGATTCCAAGTTTTCTTCCATCTTTAACGTTATATGACATTTAATTTGCATTGCTTCTGCCTTTAAAATTAAAGAGCATGCTGGTTCTAAGAAAAAAGGTATTTTTGATTTAAATCAACTAATAGTTTAATTATTTTTAAACTGAAGATGAAATTTCCTAACTGAAAATGATTAAATATTTTTAAAAGGCTTTAACCCTGACTGCTAGTGACTGCAAGTTTCAAATAATCCCGTGAACAAAAATGATCATAGGGAGATTTTATTTCCTTCAGACAGAGCCGTACTTAAACCATTTGAAAGAAATGGTAATTAAACTTGATGGAGAGCCCCATCTACTTCTAGGAATTCATTTCAATTTAATCAGTTGCTAAGTTTGGTCATCCTTCCTTGTGTCTAATTCTTATATCCTCAAGCTCATGCTCATTTTTTCTTTCTTTCTTCTGTATTTAGAGAACACCACCAGTATTTCTTTATATAATAATCCTTCTTGCATATGGAGTCGGGTTTCATTTTCTTCTTGAAGTTAAATAATTTCATTCCTATTTGCCTTGTCAGAGTCTCACTATACAATAGTTTGTTCATTAACCCCACAAGAAGCCTCTCAAATGCTCTGTGTGCCTCCTTTCACTATTCAAATATTGATAGGCTTTTACAGATATCATTTACCTTACCTGGTCACCCTAGGTACTTACCATGTCTCTTCTCCATTCTGTAGGCACTGGCAAAGCTAGTGCACTCCACTTTACAGAATTGCTGATAGCACTGAATACTGGCGCAACCCCCAACTAGCAACCTAATCTGTATTCCCTACTAGTAGTTTGTTCAGTTTTATGAACTCTCTGAAATGAATGTGAGTTCTTCATCTCATCCTGTCATTCTGATCTCTGCCTAATAAAAACAAATGGCAATGGCCATTAGTGTAAATTGAATGAATGAAAATGTTAGCACTGTTTTGGCTAAGCATTTAAGGAGCTAGATTTTAGTTCCAGTTCTGCCATTAACTAGTTGGCTTACACTAGGCAAGCTAACATCTTTCTCATTTTATTTCCTCCTCTGTTCACTAAAGAAACTGGATTAAGGTGGATGTGCCAGTGTGCACCTGTAATTCCAGCACTCTGGGAGGCTAAGTTAGTAGGATCGCAAGTTTGAGCCAGCATGTTCAATTTAGCACTTTAGCAAGGCCCTATCTTACTATCTCAAAATAAAAAAAAATTTAAAGGGCTGAGGGTGTAGCTTGTGAAATGGCCCTGGGTTCAACCACCAGTACTACCCAAATAAATACATACATACATAAAATTTTTTTTAAAAGGAAGGAATGAAGAAAGACAGCTGGCCCTAAAATTTAATATTATTAGTCCGGGTGTGGTGGTTCGTGCCAGTAATACCAGCACTCAGGAGGCTGAGGCAGGAGGATTGCTGCAAGTTCAAGACCTGCCTGGGTTATAAAGTGAGCTCAAGGGCAGCCTGGACTGCATAGTGAGACCCTGTCTCAAAAAGACAAAAAAATTAATATTATTGTGATTGAATTCGGTTTTTTATTGAACTAGACCTTAGAAGGAAAGCAATACACTGTTTCTTCTCTATGAATAGTCATATACAAAGGAGTGCTATCATTCTGGGAATCTTAAAAGACTTAGGTGTAGAGAGGGCTCTGGTATCAGGAATGAGGAAATAAGAGGAGTGTTGAGTGAAGTGTTTCTCACTTAAAACTGGTGCCTGGCTAATGGAAAACCTTAAGATTATGACTTCTATTTATGTCAACATTATATACAGTATCCTTCAGGAGTCTCTTTCATCTTTGAAAAACCACTGGTTGGATATAAACAGAGTTTTTTTGTGGTACTGCGAATTGAACTCAGGGCCTTGTTTATTTGTTTTGTTTTGTTTTGTTTCCAGTACCTGGAATCGAACTCACGACCTTGTGCTTGCCAGGCAGGTGCAGTGCCACTGAGCTAAATCCCCAGCTCCTAACTCAGGGCCTTGTGCATGGTAACCAGGTGTTCTAGCATTCAGCCCCATCCCCAGTCCAATATGGGAATCAACTCTGAGCATGTGGTATATTATTTTATTGGATCTATCCTACCCCACTTCTTTCCAAAGAAAACCTGCCGTGGTTTGCAGCAAGAACACATAAATAAGGTAAATAGACTAAAACATGAGGGTCAAGAAAAAAACCCAGAAGCAACTTTCTAACTATAAAAGAAGAGTAAATATAGCATATTGCCTTCAGGACTAGCTTGCGGTCAAAGGAGTCTGGGGGAAAATCCACAGCCCCACCAGTGCACAGTCTTTAAAAGAGCAGATGTCCTCTTTTGGCAAATATTTGACAACAGAGGTAAATTACATGAGGCCAATTCCCTGTCCTGGGGTAGAGCTATTTCCTTTGGAGACATGGCAAAGTTTTTGATCACTGGAGAGAAGTTCAGGTATTCACTCCAAGGATGCAGACCGAGATCTTAGCATTATCTTTCCCCATGGTGTATTGGAAATTAAAAATAAAACAAAAAAAAGACAAAAATCCTATGCTGGCCACGGTGATGCATATCTTTAATCCTAGCTACTTGGGAGGCTAAGCTAGGAGGAGGGAAAGCTCAAGGCCTGCCTGGATATCTTAGTGAAATAAAAATATAAATATTTTCAAAATAAAAATGGGCTGTGGCTATAGCTCAGCGGTAGAGCAGCCTGAATTTGAGCTCCAATACCGAGAAGAAGAACACAACAAACACGTGTGTTCATTTACCCTTCCCCACCCCCTTTGTCATCAGAACCAGTGGTGCTAAAGACATAATTTAAGCACAGGTTTGAGGCAGCTTTTCGGTAATAGTGCAGCGGAACAATCCACCCACGTTGTATCTCTGCCACAGCCTTCCCTCCCATCCTCTTCCAGCCCGTAGTTATTTGAGGTTTTATTTTTATTGAATTTGAAACTGAATCTCAAGTAGAGCAGATAAGCTAATGAATCTTTCTGATCCCTTTTTTACTTAAATAGTTTTAAACTGTGTATTAGGTAGGTACTGGCTTACCTGTACCACATTTAGAAGCCCTTTAGAATGCTAGTTTACCCTTTGCAAGGGTCTTGCCCAGTTTCTTAAGTAACCAAGGTTACGCCTCAGGCCCTGCCCGCGTTTTATGCTCAGGGGATAGTAAGTAGTAGCCGTAAGTAAACATCAGTTTGTCCAGCTTTTTGGTCATCTTCCAGACTCCCAGAATGTCATTATCAGTGGTAAATGAAGTATTTTCATTTTTTAGATGAAAATTTAATCATTGCTGTTTAAATAGCAACTTTTGGGGTGGAAATTGGTAGATTTAAAAGTAAATAGATAATGTTACCAGGGAAGAGGCTTAATGAAGAACAGCTATCCCTGGAGTAAACTATATACCTAGGCCACAGTTAATATTAAACGGTGAGACCCAAGTATGGGTTCTATTTTAAGCTGTTAAATTTCAACATGAAAGTACTTTTTATTCAGCATAAATATGGCATTCATAAATGATGAAACACACAAGGTGCCAAAGAGCTGTGAATCCCTCCCAGTGTGAGGGCAAAGTAGGCAATGTTTGATTTTCACCAACCTCTTCCCGTTTTCCAGCCAACAGAACTTACCTCCGCTCTGACTTTTGATTCCCACCCTTTCCTGTAATAACATTGTACAGTCCACTGTTTGTGCTTTATGAGGTACCAGAATTTTAAAATAACCATGTATTTTAAAGAGAAACTTTCAGATATTCCATTACAAATTCTTCTGAAACTTAATCATTGCTTTCCTTGTATTCCGGTTGGAACTATTGGCTTTGGTACAGGGATGGTGAAAGAAAGAGAAATGTGTTACATTTATTTTAAAAATATTATCCCTCCGTGATTTTTTTTTTTTATGATGAAAGCCTGAATAGTTTGATTATATATCCCTGGCAAAATTTAAAATTTGAGACTCAAAAAGGCTCTATTCAACATAATATTATTGAAACATATAAATGCTAAGAATGATGCTACAGGCAACCCATATGACCAAATAGTTGCTGGAGAGATCCTGTAGATTGTCTGATATAAAAATCCGTCCAATGTCAATATTTAGAGTAACTTTTTAATGGCAAATGCAAGAATTTAAATTTTTCTCTTCTGGAAAAAAAAGGATAGCTAGTTCTACCTTTATTTACACCTATGTGTTAAATCTTTGCTGTAAATTTTAGGAACCTCTAAATTTTGACCCGGGGTCTAGGTAAAATGCTTGTATTACCTTTCAAGATTACATTTAATCATATAAAACCTATTCAGCCCTTTGTTTTAAAACATTTTGCTTTCTTCCTCTACATTTAATTTCTTCTTCATTTGGGTAAGTATTAGTTTAATAAACAAAACTATTTCATATAGCCAAGCGACTCCCTTATTTCAAATGTATCAATTTTGAATTTTATTTTTGCAAATTTTCAAGCATGTGTGTCAGTGTGTGTTTTTCCCCTTAAGCTGCGAGCTGGTCCATTTGATGAGTTCCAGATTGCTACCATGCTAAAGGAAATTTTGAAAGGTCTGGACTATCTGCATTCAGAAAAGAAAATTCACCGCGACATAAAAGGTATATAAAAGTGTAATATAAGCCTGAGAAAAATAAATGCATTCTGAAGTATTAAGGGTTTTTTTTTTTCCTTTGTTTCCCAGCTGCTAATGTCTTACTCTCAGAACAAGGGGATGTCAAACTTGCTGACTTTGGAGTCGCTGGACAGCTGACAGATACACAAATTAAGAGAAACACCTTTGTGGGAACTCCATTTTGGATGGCTCCAGAAGTTATTCAGCAGTCAGCTTATGACTCAAAAGTAAAGTATTACTTGTCCCAATTGTGGGTTCCCCCCTAGTACTAGGGTTCAAAGCCAGGGTGTACTAAGCTACATCCCCAACAGTTTTTATTTATTTTAAAACAAAGTCTGGCTATGTTGTCCAGGCTGATTTTGAACTTGTGATCCTCCTGCCTCAACCTGTCGAGTAATTGGGATTATAGGCGTGTGCCACCATGCCCAGCGAAACTGTTTGTTTCCATGATAAATTTATGTAGCCTGCCATCCTAGTTAATTGACTGCTTTATTTTTTCTTCCTTTTCAAGTGTTTCTTAAGGAAGATTTATGTCATGTTTTGCTGCTTAATCATAAATTCCCCAATGCTGGTAATATTAAACCCTCCCCTCAATGGACTTAAATCTCACTTGGAATACAAATCCAAAGTTCTTCCTGTGGCATGAAGGCTCCAGCATGGTCTGCCATGGACTGCCCCTCCAGCCTCATCTCCACTCTCCTCTGTACTCTGTCTGCTGCAACCGTAGTGGCCTCATTGTTCTTTCTCAAACACAGCACGTAAATCCCAGTGGCGGGAGCTTTACTATTGCCCCTTTGTTTGTCTGGAATAAGCCTTCTCTCAATCAGACCACTGCTTAAACCTACATAGAGGTGTTTCCCCAGCCATCCTATATAAATTTCCAACCTCTTGGCCCTGTCCTTCATTACAGCCTTATTCCACTTTCTTATTTTCCTCACAGAACTGAGGACTATCTGACTTAGTTACTTCCATATTTATTTATCTAGCTCTCTTAGTAAGAAAACAAGCTCCTTGAGAATAGAGATTTTTGTCTGGCTTATCATCACTCAAATCCACTGTTCCTGGACTGGTACCTGGCACAAAGTATGGAATTCAATAACATTTTTAATAAGTGGATTCTATAAGTAAAAATGTAGACTGTATTTCTTGAGAGGTTTTCATACGACCATTGCATTGTACAGAGTATTATGTGGCAGTAAGCTGGAGTAGAGATTTAAGGTGATACACTTTTGTTCCTTTCTCTTACCGTAGGCGGACATCTGGTCACTGGGAATTACTGCCATTGAACTAGCCAAGGGAGAGCCACCCAACTCTGATATGCACCCGATGAGAGTTCTGTTCCTTATTCCAAAAAACAATCCTCCCACTCTTGTTGGAGATTTTACTAAGTCTTTTAAGGAGTTTATTGATGCTTGCCTGAATAAAGATCCATCATTTGTGAGTATATATCATTTTTGCTTGTTATTCTTTTGTTAAATCTACTTGTGGCATAGCTGGCTGTTCCTACAATAGGGATTAGAGTGTACATGAACACTGTCTAAGATCCATCTGAGATCTTCTTATACAGATCCTTAGTTCTTTCTCTGAATCTTTTTCTTGGCTCCCTACTTCCTGTTTATTCTATTGGTCACATCCTATTTCAAGGGGGAAAGATATTTAAGAAATAAAATTCATTTTAATTTATGTCATTATTAAATCACATGTATACATATTCTCAGTGATTCTTTCAACTATGCTTTCATTTTTCATGGGAGTTATATTTAAGTTTAGCTATTTTTATTTAATGTTTAGAAATGCCAACATAAAATTTTATACTTTTCCTGCTCTAGTGAGCTCCTCTCGTCTACTTGGCAAGTTTTATTATAGTTGTTTTACTGCTGTTATCTTCTGGAGACTAGAAATATGCAAGAACCGTCTAAACTTGATATCACTATTTTAAGTTGATAATAAACATTATGATACTAATAAAATACTGGAGGGAAAATATCCCCCACAGCATCTGGTGTTTGCATTTAGATGCAATAGGAATTGTTGCTTGATAGAGAAAGGATTGTAAGATGTGGGCAGATAATAACAAAAGTAGGGGTCTGTAAGATATGTACAGATGATAACAAAATTATAGCGTCACTGGGTTTTATGGATTTTTTCAACTTACAGTAAATGTAATAAAAGTCTTGCAAAGCATTATGGTGAAGTGGTTTTAAGTTTTTAATTCCTAAATCCTACCATATGTTGCTCTGCTTTAGAGGAAACTTTGCTTGCCTGCTGGTTTGCTGGGAGGTAGTCTCCCTCCTGCCCACTGGGCTTTAACAAATAGGGGTCCCAAAGTAGGGAATATCATGGGAGCAGATTAAACAATGGAGTTACCTATTTTCCCACAGCGATATTATGGCAAATTGGCTTCATGTCCATAGACTTCTTTTTATAACTTTTTGTGTGTAATAATTTCAATGATTTTTCCCACCCCTTGCAATCATAAAGATCCTTGAAACAGTCATGCATCTTCCATTCTATGCCTTAGCGTCCTACAGCTAAAGAACTTCTGAAACATAAATTCATTGTAAAAAATTCGAAGAAGACTTCTTATCTGACAGAACTGATAGACCGATTTAAGAGATGGAAAGCAGAAGGACACAGTGATGATGAATCTGATTCTGAGGGCTCTGATTCGTATGTACTAATTATTTAATTTTTATATGGGAAGCTCACTTTAATACACTATATCTTTTAACAGCAATCCAGGATGTCTGTTCTCCTGTAAAATATAAAGCACATTCTGAAGTGTCACTTTAGAACCTGTGAAAGTCTCTTTCAGTCACTGTCTGTGGAATATAATGAATTTAGAAAGACTTTTTTTTTTTTTTCTTGGAAGTGACTAGCCCTAGTTTTGAATGGTCTTGGTCTAACCCCTAGTGGATACTTGAGTATATTACAAAGTTTTAGAATAAGATTCAACTAACTGTGTTATACTAGTTTAAATAAGGTACTGTCTTTCCATATTGGATAGCAACCTACAAAATCCCTGTGGAGAACTGACCTGTAGGCCTTGCCACCTCTTTGCCATGTTCCAATCTCTGATCAGACCAGTACATTTACATATCCCTTGATGGAGGCTGGGAATATAGCTTGGTAGTAGAGTGCTACTGTGCACAAAGCCCTGGGTTCGATCCCCGGCACCTTTTACCCTTTGAAAACAGATTGCAGTAGTTTTTTTTCATGGCAGTATTATATTAACAATTCAAGCTCTAACTTCTTAACTTAATTTTGATTAGGAGAGTCTATAGGCTATATCAGCATTTACATTTTCACTAAGTAAACTGGCACAAAGACAACACCAAATTTCTTTAGCTAACACTGATTCCTGCTCATTCCTGCATGTATGAGAAACTGCCCCAACTTTGAAATGTGTACACTATATCAGCATAGTTTATATCGTGTTCCAATGACTGTTAGCTTTGGCTGCCCATAAGAATCTCCCAGTGGACTCTTAAAAACACAGCAATGCTACTAGGGATCTTGATTCAGTCCTCAGGGGGAATTATATGTGTAGGAGCCCTCCACATGGGATTCTCAGGCACATTTAGAGCTGAGAAACCCTGCTGCTCTTCAGTAAAATGCATCTACCCAAAACTGTGATCAAATGCTTTTTTTATACTGTGAGTTGTTAAACACTGGGATAATTATCTCTTCAGATTCTGCCTGCATTGATTTGATATTTTTTCTATGCTGAATTATTTAGGAATTTATAGAGATGTTTTTGTCGATCTCTTTAGGGAATCCAGCAGCAGGGAAAATAATACTCACCCTGAATGGAGTTTCACCACTGTGCGAAAGAAGCCCGATCCAAAGAAACTACAGAATGGGGCAGTATGTATATGGAAATGATTAGCTCCTTTTGAGAGACTACAGTGAGACTATAATACTAGTTAGAATTTAATGCCCCTAAATGTCTATTTTTCTTACTCTGTACACAGTACTCTCCATTTATCTTTAGAATTAAACCAATTAAGACAAAATTTGAAAATATAAGCTAATAGAAGTGATTTGAGCAGTGATTAGTATCTTTAATGCAATTCACCTGGAGATAGCGAAGCCTACAGAATCATAGACAGCTATTGTAATCTTAGAAGATAGAAGATCGAGCCTTATGGTTGATGGATGGAAGTCAGTGATAGGAAGAAAATACAGCGACTTGCACTATCTTGTGTCTTGAGGGAGGTATTCAAAGTAGTTCACATTTTTTACAGAACAAGTAGGAAAATTGTGAATGATTATTGTAATTTCATGTGTATAATGTATTTATTTATTCAAAGGAGCAAGACCTTGTGCAAACCCTGAGCTGTTTGTCTATGATAATCACTCCTGCATTTGCTGAAGTAAGTGCAGGTTCTTTAGCACTGGGTATCTGTTTTAAGTAGTACGGTGTTTTAAATATTATAGCTATCAATCTCTCTCAGCTTAAACAGCAGGATGAGCATAATACAAGCAGGAATCAAGCGATTGAAGAACTCGAGAAAAGTATTGCTGTGGCTGAAGCTGCCTGCCCGGGCATTACAGATAAAATGGTGAAAAAACTAATTGAAAAATTTCAAAAGTAAGTATGAAATGTCATTTTTAACTACTGTGTTGACATTTTTGTTGGATATTAATTTACAATGCAATATAATTATTTTCATGCTGTCAGTTAAATTAGTCCTCCAAAATCACTTTTTAATCATTGTGTGCTTCAAAACAGTTTTGTTTGTTGCTCATCTTAAACTTGGCTTTTGGAATTATTGCTTTAAATATGACAAGGTAGTTTTCCACGGAATGGAATGGCCTCCCCAACCCTTCTTCCCTAGAGGAGTGTATACAAAAGGTCTTATTTGAGCATTTGCGAGCTTCAGTTAGGCATGGTTTCATTCTTGCTACTACCCTCAGTATTTGCAGAAACACTGCTATTCATATAGTATCCAGTGCTGAAGATCCTAAGTTTGACCCTCATCTGAAAAATTAATGAAAAGGTCGGGCAATAAAAGGCTCTTATGTTGAACTTCAGTTTCTATACTTTCTCTTGAACTGCTGGTTTCATTTTGTTCAAAAAAGTTCTAATTTTAAAATTCTTTCATCAAACTTCTGTATGAATATACACACATACATTCCTTAGCTAAAGCAAGCTACATAAAAAGTTATATGAAAGTTCACTTTAAACCCATTATATCTCTTCTCTGTGTACCTTTTATTTACATGTATTCCTGATGCCACTCGGATCAAGTTAGTACAGACTAAATGACCTGTAAAATCACATACTCTCATAGATCTTTGTATGGATTTAAGCTCACTTGTACGCCTAAAGCCCCCTTAAAATCCCTTCTGTTATAATGGAATAACTCGCATCTGCTTTTCAGTTCACAAGCAAATCAACTGGAAGCTATGAAATCAGATGTTTATATTTTAGCATCTACATGTCAACATTTAATCAAAAGAATTTGTCTTGTTTGCCCAATCAGTTCTTTCATCACAGAGCTCATGTATAAGTGAGAAATATAAACAAGCATAATGCTATATCAGTTGAAATGTTTCTTGCTTTTGTAGGTGTTCTGCAGATCAATCCCCCTAAGAAACTCGTCGGTGGCTTCTGTTTCATATGGACCCAGAAAACCCACGAAAGCTACTTCAAGTTTAACAATGCTTTACTCATGAGCTCTTTGTGCCTTTTGGATCTTTGCAACATTGAAGTTTTGGAAGAAGCTGTTTAACTATTTTGTGATGGTGTTTATCATTTTATATTTTAAAGAGATTATCTGGTAATGAGTAACTTTTAATACTATACTTTCACCTGTATTGTAGTAAATGTTGAGATGCAGTTTTGCTTTTAGGTATCACTATCTCTTAAGTTTTGAGTAGGAATACCTTTCATACTTTGATCTTTAGTTAACTGTACACATGAAACATACAGGGCTTGCAAAATCATTCTAAAATATTTAACTCTGGTAAATTATCAAGGTTCAAAAAGCTTTTTCTACACAAGCATATTAACAAAGTGACTCTCTGGGAAGTTAGAAATAAGTCATACCTTCTTAAAGTAGAAGTTTTTAAAGAGGCTCTTGGAAGTGAAACCTTAGAAGGTACAATGATTCTTAACACCAAGTTGGTATGAGGTCAGGCAGCTCAATGATGATCACATTTGAGAGCCCTGTTTGAAGCATTTATAGGCAACATGTCGCAACAGAAGTACCTCTTGGTGTGCAATATTCATCTTCTCTGTTAGATGAAAGAGGCGATTAACCCATATTTAATATGGTTAGAAATTTGAAGAAATATCAGTATTGGTATTTGGTAACACTGGAGGAAGTAGTCTGGCTTCATTCTTTAAATCTTCAATGCAAACGCATATTATGTGCTTAGAGTTAGAGAGCTTATAACAAAGCTAATCGTCCTGTGATTAAATACCTGATCAACAGGTGTGAATATAAATTACACCAGCATATTTTTGTCATGGCAGTAAATTGTTCTATAAACTATTTATATGTTTTTGTTCTGCATAATTCTCAGCATATAAGCATCATGTGTTCATTTCTGAAAGGGTATTTAAATGAGTATTTTACACTTCCTATGAAAATGATCATAGTACAGAATGATTTCTCTCCAAAGGTAAGTTAGACTGTACAGTTAATTTTCATTTATATTTATGGTACACTTAAGTGGGTAATACCTTTTTCTTTTAAGCCAAAAATATCTATTGTGCCCGCTTATTTGCTGAATGGTGGTTATATATCAGTAGTTGTAGAACTGTTGGTATTAATTACTTTTGATAGTTAATGTTTTATTGTTTGGATCAGCACATTTGGTTTTTGCACAAATTGTTTTTTAGAAATCTGAATATTTGCCAAATATTAGAAAAAAGGTGTTCTGCAAATAAAGAGTACAGTGTGGTTGAAGTGGCCATTAAAACTTTTTTCTCATTCAGACAGTTGAGAAAGTTGTGTGTCACATGCCAAGAAAATTCTTTTCATTGGTGCCTATACTGTAACAATTACTTTTAATGCATTGTATTTGGAAGTAATGGTTCAGTTAAATATTTTGCCTGCTCTGTGACTGAAACTTAATTATAGTTTATAATCTGTAGCGCTCTGAAATAATTTTGCAATTCATACCATGGATCAAATCAATATTTTTGTAAAAGTAAAAGCAACACGTTTATAGATTGATTGTTTGAAACCTCACAGCACAATGGCTTCACAGATACAAATTGTATGGCTTGTTCATTATAGTTATTAGTCCTGTAAACTGTTTCTAAGTGAAGTATACTCCAGTGTTTTAGGGGTCTTGAAAAATAAACATTTAAATTTCACGATCTTCAATGGCTATTTTCTTGGGGGGATATGGTTTGATATTTTACTTGTTTCAAATTTTTTTCTACTTTGCCCTTTCATTTATTACTGGAACATTATAATGAAAAGTTTTATTGCACACTAGGAGAAAGATTTTCTTTCACATTTTATTAAGCATTCATTATAGCTACACTGAACATCTGTCCTGATTTCTACCCCGTATCTTGAAAAAATTACTGATAAAATCCCCTTTTAACATGTCCTAGGTTAAATAATAAATTATACAGTCCTCATAAGTACTGTCTTACTAGAGGGACCTATGTAGATTTGAGTGCTACAGCTCTTCCACAAAACATAAAGTTAGCAAAGATGTTCAGAAATTATGATGAGAAATAATGTATAGCATATAAGAGTTTGAGTTTTCCCTAGAGAACAGTTTGAGGATAAACTTTATATAGCTTCAAGAATCTATAGAATTAATATATACATGATTGGCCTTCAGTATATTCTTCTTATTAAATAACTACTCCAGACTTATGAGTCAGTATATGTGGGTCTAGGAGAAGGAAAGTGGTAGAATGAAGTACATTAAAAGGAGTATTTCAGGGTTGGGGATTTAGCTCAGTGGAACAGCACCTGCCTGACAAGTGCAAAGTCGTGAGTTTGATTCCCGAGACTGGGAAAAAAAAACAAAAACAAAAAAAGGAATATTTCGGATGTCAGGGACAGGAGAGTGAGGAAACTATTTTATGCATCTTCTTTTCATTAAGTTATATATAAAAATAGCTAAAAATAGCTTGTTTGTAAATTGCTTCTTGTCTTTGAAGTTTGCATGTAACATTGTGTTGCATTTAACATTATGTTTAAAAATGTGTTGGGCTTACCATTAAGGTCAGTAAACAAAATGAAGATCTCATGCTGAATGGGTCAAGGGTAGAATTTTGGTTCACTGACACAGTATGGTGTAAGAACTATCATTTAGCTTTTTAGCTATTCTCAGTTTCAGTTCTCCATCCCAAACACACATTTTCACATGCCTCCTCCTTTTCCCTGTTCTGTCCTGGCTCTAGTAATAAGCCAGACCCAATCACTCCTGAAATGGATTCAAACACAAGGAAGACCATATTTGTTCTTTAATGGAATGGATTTTCTATCGCTCTTTATTAAAACAACATCTCATTTCCTTGCCTACACACATGCAACAAGGTATGACAAAAACAAATTCTGGCAGGAGAGATTCAATCAGCAAATGGTCCTGTTAACTTTTGTCTTTCACTACATACATAGTTAAGAATAGAGAAGTTATAAATCAAACATCATAATGTCCTCATCAAGCACATGTCTGGCCTTAGAAGTTGACCTACTTCATGAATTTCATGGGCTTAGAATTCTGTCAAGTACAATGTTAATTCTAACTATGTGTTGTGTTGAGAGGTTCTATGCGGACATCTTGTTCCTGACATTGTAGGAGGAACACACTCCGTTGTTTAAGTATAAAGTGACCCACACAGTCACGGTCTACCAAGTCACAAGTGTTGTTTGAAGCCAATTCTTTATGCCAAGCCATACTGCTATCCTTCTTAAGTATGGAGAATCTGCCCGCCATTTATACTGTTTCTATGAAGAAGTGTATAATGGGGATGACAACAACTTCTCCACCCTGCCGCACTGCTGGGGAGGAGGGGACATGTTCAGAGGGAATGGAGAGGGAATAGAAGAGTGGATCTAGGAGACTGAATGTCGCTCTATCTTTCATAAGTCAGGTTCCCCAAAGTAGAAGATTGCCTTAACACCCATGAAGAGTGATGTAGAAAATGATTTATTAAGAAGTTGCTTATTTTTTTAACCTAAGATGGTAACATGGAGCTGGCTCAGAAATATTCATAGAGTCCACACTTTTAGGCTAAGAAGTAATTACATGGTTTTAGCAAAGTCCTGTCATCCGTAGTCGGTGTGCTGAAAGAAACATCTTCATCTTCTTCATCTAGCTGCAGACTACCAGAGGACAAACGGATCCTGGCCATGGGTGACTTTATTCCTTTGCCATACAAAGAGTAGTAGTCTGGTCTAAGAATCTCAGACTCAGAATCGCTGGATTCACTAGCTACATACCTTTCTGCTGCAGTCTGATCCATTAGAACTGCTGGGAACTCTTGCTCTGCAAACATACATGTGAATAGGTCTGCTTTACAACTCAGAGCAGGACAAGGCCCTAGAGGTCTAAATTCTGACCCAAAAGGAAAATGAATGGCTTTCATATCTGATTGGCTCTGAGACCTTTTAGGTGTTTGCTCTTGAATATTGTATGCGAATACATCTTCTAAATTTGGGTCTTCTTCTAGATCTACATTGACGTTGCTCCTACTGCTAGTCCTGGGCATAGCTTCTTGGAGTTCTTGAAGGTCTTGCTGAAAGCTCTTCAGTCTGATATTCCGTGGGCTTCTTTTGGCTGGCTTTATTGCAGTGGGCTCTATATAGCTGTCTGGTCTTACCTCTTCCTCTGCCATCAGTGGAGACCGTCTGGTTACTTGGGGTGGCTTGTCCACATAAAAGAAGACTTGGGGAGGCATAATATTAACCTGCTGACTAGTACAAGGAATATAGGGCACATCTGTGTAAGTTAGCTGCCTTGCTGGACTCATTTTGCTTGTGAGGCCAGAAGATGTGCTTAAGTGATTGTCAGCAAACTTAGAGCTTGTTTGGAAGGAGCTTAGAGGACTCCTTTCCTCAAAGAAGTCTCTGGGGTCTGGATCAGGGTCAGTGCTAAAAACAGAATCTGAATAAATAAAAGGGAACGAGGAGCTGCTTCGGGACTGATGTAGCAATATTCGATCTGCCTCTGGTTTGGAATGCTCCAGCTCAACTGCAAATGTCACCTCGACTGCAGAGTTCCTCCTCCTGCCGTCCAGCACGGGCTCAGAGGCATGCGCTCCGTTTGCGTTTCGGTAGTAGCCACTGCCATATGCTAGTCTCAAATCTTCCACCTTGAAAGAAAGGACACATTGGTGAAAGAATGGAAAAGCTATTTGGGTAAGGTTGGGGTAGGGTTCTAAGTTGGCCTTGAAGTTTGAAAGGTCGTATTTCACAAAGTTGTTTCAGTCTACGTTCTGCTCCTGAGTTGCTAAACATATATTCAAAGAGTAATAACCTGTACCATATCCCAAGTCATGTGTTAAAAAGAATTAAAGTGCATTAGGTATATAGGCATGTACTGCAAACATGTACTAATACAAGATACAAATTAAAAAAACAAGATGTACTATATGAACAACCTAAATTAAAGGTATGAAAATCTTTTTCAAAAAGTACATTGATACTGTTCTTCTTCGGTGAGGTCACACTTCCAGCCGCCATGTTTTCTGCTTAAAATGCGAGCAGCATGCACTTTAAGCAGTTTGATTCAGTAGCGATATCAATGCACCTTTCAGGTAATACATGCTGCAGCCTCCCCGCTCCAGCCTCCTCCCAATTTTCCACCAATGGTAGGAGGAGAGCAATGAATGGCACAGGAAGTTCATATGCTAGATGATAATTTGAGCCACTATACTTTTAATGCTTTTTGAATGAAAACTATCAGTGACTTGAATGAAGGCAGAAAAGTTTCTTTTTTATTTTAAAAAGTAGAAAAAATAAAACAATTTCAGAACGGCACAAGAGTTTCTGAGACCCATAATTGATTTTTTATAGAGACATCTGGAATAAAATGATTAACAAAGTTGCTACTGTAAAACTCAAATGAAGCCATCATCTTACAGTTTCAGGGGAACAATGCTTTCTCATTAAATTATACAAATGAGGAACAAAATACTTTAAAACCTACACAAGTCCCTATACCTTCCTCTAAGCCTTAACACTTCTATTAGTTAAGAAGAAAAAGTAGAATTCTAGTTTTAAAAATACAAGCCATAGGAATTTACTTGGATCTGCATTTTGGAAGCTGTTAACAATACAGGTTGCAATTTGAAAATATGCTAGATCCTCCTCATGTATAAAGCACACACCAGTGGTAGTTCACTAAACAGTCTTCCATTGGCGGGAAAGTTTGAGCCAGTAGACCTCTGGAGTAGGCTAGCCTAGTAGAACAGAATAACTGTTATACACATTAAGAGACTGGCAGAATCAATTTTAGAAGCATCTGAAATTTGGATAAATTACATTTATCTGAAGAAGTAGGAATTTTCAGAAAACTTACTTGTTTTGATACATCAGAGAGTATGTCCGGTGAGGACCTGCACTGTCGTTCATGGTACTGAGATGGGTAATGTTTCCTGCAATCCCCAGAGAGAAGTCATTGAAATGGCCATCATAGGAATACCAGGATGTGCATAAATCTCTGAGTTCAATTTAAAAGCAGCAGGAGGAAAAAATAAACCATGTACCTTTCAAATGGTAAGCTCTTCAACCTCCCTTTTTTCCCATATTCCAAAAGTTGCCTTTGGGTTCTCCCGCTGTTATAAAGATGAGATCAAAATCATTAATCTCAGTCATAAGCCAATAGGGTACTAAAACTTGAAAGCTTCGCTCGTTGTTAAAACCAAAAGCATCTGGATAAATTACATACGATGTGAATTTTTACCTATCAAAGTAATGGTAATACCAGCTTATCCAACAACCAGGCTTAAATAGAGCAACCTCAACTACATGGAACCTAAATCTTTTAAAACATTTAAAAAGCCAGCTCACATTTTATATACCATTTCCATGCCAGAAAAAAAAGCAGCTAAATAAATGGTAGAAGGAGATTATTCAAGTCAGGCATACACTAGGAAAGAAATCCAGCTGGCTGCTAGGAGAAACACAAGAGTTGAAAAAGAAATCACAAGAATAATAAAACTCAAAAAGTCTGGGCCGTTTATCACCGAACTGCAGGGCCTGACATGCCTCCCCCGCCCTGAGGCCATCACCGCACTACAGCTGCCGGCAGAGGATAATAAGTGATGTTTATAATAACTCAGGTCATTAAGAAAAGGGCAAAATATGCTCAGCATCATCTGTTTAAGAAGGCAGGGATTTGTAGAATACACTTTGGAAGGATTCCATTAAAAATATGTGTTTTTTTAAATAACTCAATTTTTACTGGGGCAGGCTTCCACTACTTGAAAAGTCCCTAGTGTGGAAGCATTCGATTAGAATTTTTTAAGCTTAGCTAAGAGTTTTGAAAGCTTCTTCTAATGAATTCCTAGGCTGATGTGTTCAAGTAAAAACAAGATCTTAATTCAGCTTTGCTTCCATTTTTCCAAGGTGTGACCTCCAGTGAGGAGCTTCTAGCATAATGTTGCTTAATCTGTTTAATCCTGTATCCCCTCCAGGGCTTTGACACGCTATCTTTTGCTTAAAAATCATTGAAAGGATGTTGTTGAGCTTTATTTTTCATGGTTTGTATACTAAGCTGCATCTAAGGGAAACAATAAGTTCATTGAATATATATTTGCAGACTGTGTATGTCCCCCTTTTCTTGTGTGATACTGATCCAATCCCTCAGCTAGGTTACTCCTCTCTCCCTGTCTCCTAGTTAGGAAATAGTGATTTAATGTGGCATATCAAGAATGAGAAGTAAAGGGTATAATCTTTCAAATGATTGAAGTGAATTTTTTATTATTTCTACAATTTGAACTCTTTCTTTACCTTCCATATTATTGGAAAGAAGTAGTGCACGTAGTTTTCCTATGTGCAGTATTTAATTACCTGTAGCGGAAGCTGGAACCCTTGCTACAAAGGAGGGTTTTGGGCTTTGATTTGGGCTCTTCAGAAAGCCTAAAGAAAGCATGGTACTCCACACAAGTCTTCCAGAAAGCCTTGCAGGCATCTCGGCTGGCCATGGTGAACTCCAAAGTGTCTTTGCATAATACCTATAGGAACAAATTTCCATAATGCAAAACATCCTTTGAGAATATCGAAGACCTTCAAATCCAAATGCCCTCCAAACTATCTGTCCAGGGGCCCATGCAGCTTCTGATTTTCCCTTTGGCTTCCCGTGGGTTTCACACCTACTAAATGATTAGCAACCTTCTGAGGAACAGAAAGGGCCACTGGTCACAAACAGAGTTTTCTCTAAGATACCAGGCTTGCATTACACACTCCCTTCACTTTAAATAGTTTTGTAACCTCCCCCTTCTTAGTCAGGAACATTTTTATTAAGTTGTAAATTAGGTTAAAATGAACATCAAAGGGCATCCACTTAAGGTGACAAGATGTTCTAAATGACCAACAGGAAAGAAGAGAATGGATGCTTACAGACGCAAGGGTTTATGGGATGATTACATATGCATGAGTTTTTTAATGGACTAACTAGAAACACTTTTTTCTCTATATGTTGTCTTGTTCTATAGTGTTCTGTATTGCTCTTCTCATGCATTTTAATCTGCCCTTAGGGAGCGTGGCCTTCCAGTCTTACAGTTCAAGGTTTTCCTATCACTTGACTCACCTTATACTCCATTAGCCCCAGGGTACATGGTACACTCACAGCCTCCCTTTTTTCAGTCCCACCAACACACTACACTAACCCGCGTCTCTCATTCCTTCCCAGGTTTCTGCATCAGCCCCCAGGGCTTTCTCCATGAGTTTCACATTGGAGCTGGTCCCCTGCACTTCTCAAATGAACTCATTTGTATAATGCCAAAGAATACAGCCCAAACTGGGTCTTCTGTAGTTGACTACACATATTTTGTTTTCTCTATGGTCACAAAAGAACATCCTCTCTAGCACCTTTGTCTCAGCCTATACAATGCAAACTTGCCCAATAATTGCTTCTTTTGTGTACTTGTATAATACCCACATTCTGCTTGGCTTTGGCGTGCAGTAAGTGTTCAATAATTTTCCTTATGGAAAGTAAATGAAGACACTATAAGATGGGCCAGAGAACATCAAATGTTTATTTCCATAGTCTTAGATCTGGACACTCCTACTTGACTACTCAAATCTCTCACAAATAATTTTCACAGAGAGGCCTGTCAGCTCAGCTGACCCATTTTCCTATAACTTTATTCATTTTGAATGGCAATTCAGAATTCTTAGTGCTCTGCCATTAATAAAAGTGTGACTAAAGCTCCAGCTAGTTTATGCAGAAGCAGGACAGGTGTCATATCCCTCCTCAAGGCCAGCCAATTTCCACTTCGCACATTCAGTCCACTTGCAGAGAGAAATAAGAAATTCCAAGCAAATAAAAGGGGGAAAAAAAAAAAACTACTTACCAAGATGTTGGCATGAAGTTTGATGAGAAAATGTTTTCTCTTAAAACTCAACTTGCGAATTTTAGCCCAGTTGAAAGTATTGATCTTTGTATTTCCCTGCAATGCAACAGAGAGCAGATTTTAGAATGTGTCAGCATGTGTTGGTTTCTAATCTAGCACAAAGACGATAGAAAATGTGCTTCAAGGGGCCGGGGATATAGCTCAGCGGCACAAGCGCCTGCCTGGCAAGTGCAAGGTCCTGAGTTCGATTCTTGGTACAAAAAAAAAAAAGAAAATGTGCCTTCAGGAATGGGACCATCTCTAACTCCCACCCATCTCTTGCACAGATGGATCCTGTCTGTTTAAGGAGATTGCTATGACTCAGCATTCCAGGTTCGACAGGAGGCATTCTCTGGAATGCCATGATTGACTCTTTCCGGGACATTTGTCTGGTGGCCCTTCCTTTGAAACACCTTTCCTCACCTCCAAAACCTGTCCCTTTGGAATGGATAACTTCCTCATGTCCCACCTTAAATGTTATACCCCTCTCACACGCGTTACCTGAGCACTCCGTACTCCTAGCACAAAGCACATCACATTTGCTTGTTATTACTTATTTAACGGTCTGTCTTCTCCTTACTGGAATTCAAGTTCCATGAAGTCAGGATCATCCTTGTCTACCTCTGTGGCCCTAGTGATTATCACAGCATGGATGCACAATAAATGTAGTGAAGATGAATGAGTAGATGGTATCTCAAGTGAAATCATAACAAAAAGAGTCTATGAGTACACCATATTTTGGACCCCTCAAGGTGATTCTTAGGATTTGGACAGTCTCACAGCATATGCTGTTTACATGCCTAAATCCACTGGTATGGAAGGTCCAAAGAGCCTCTTTGTATCTTCCCCTCGCACAAGCCTAATCTGATCCATGTGTTTCTCAGAACTAAGACAGTCAGTGACAGGCTGCACGTGGAAGCACATTGACAGGATAAGGTTTACCCCAAACATACCCAAACGGAACTTCCCTTTCTAACTGGTGCTAAGGCTGAGTGTGTGATCACCTTGGAAACAGACACCCAAGTTTGAGTCAAGATACTCGCCACCTGGCAAGATGAAGGGCTCGAAAGGAAAAGTTGTTACCCGCAGCACCAGCACTCCCATGTGAGCAACAGCCAGGTGAATCTGCATCCCTTCGCCATCACTGGCGGGGTGAGGCCTGATGCCATACATATCCAGCTTTCTCGCGATATCCAGTAGCAGAATGTCTGATTCAGCTGGGCTCCTGCCACTGCAAGGGGAAGGAATTTATGAGCCTAATAAATGCAGCAAGAATGACACTTCCACCCTGAGAGTTTCATGAAGAGATCTGCATTTTCTTGAGCCTGAAAAATTTCAGGCTTAAGGGCTTGCTTTTAAGAGTCTGTCCCTGTCTTTAGTGTCCTCCACTGGAAAAGCAGGTGTGGGATAAGTACTTACATGTGCTTCTGATGAAAGTGCACTATCTTGCTCTCTAAACAGTCTTGGTTTGGTAAGTATCGGGTTTGTGCCAGATGTTTCTTAACCGTTTCTTCATGAAAGTCTCCCAGTTCTGCTGCAGGATGGAAAAGGGGGCATTTATCACATTACCGTTGAAAATTTAAGCAACAGAGTACCTGGTACACCTTCTGACCTCCCCCAAACAACCTTTTCTTTGGAGCCTGTGCAGCCCCATGCTTCTCATTCCATGCGTTATGTATACAGTATTTGTCTTTCTATAGGGAAAGACCAAATGGCTCTTTTTCAAGTCAGGAGCAGTGGGTTGCTATGAAGTCCCAGTACAGCTAAGTTACAGACCCAGAACAGGTTTTCAAGGCTCCAAGATCATAACTGAACATCTTGTTAGTTTTTTTTCCTCTCTTATTCTTTTCCACGATCTCTCCACCTTCCTATCATGTCTTTTATAGGTTGAATTTTGTCTGCCCCAAATTCGTATGTTGAATTCTGAATCCACAATACCACCAAAACTGACTATTTGGAGACAGGGTTTTTTACACAAGTGATCAAGATGAAACTGAGAACATTGCAGGCCTAATCCACTCTCGCTGGTATCCAGATAAAAAGAGGAAACTTGGACCCTTGGAGGAACACTGGGGATGTGAGCACACAGAAAAAGGACACAGCCAGAGGCAGCCATCTGAAAGCCAAGGAGAGACGCCTCAGAAGAAACCAAACATGCAAACCCCTTGATCTTAGATTTTCAGTCTCCAGAATGGTGCACAAATAAATTTCTCTCATCGACGCCACTAGTTTCTGGTATTTTCCTATTACAGCCCTAGTAAAGCAATGCATCCCCCTAGCCCACTCCACCCTGATCATACATTATCCCAAAAGGAGAATAAAAATGCTAACTCTAATGTAAGCCAGTCACAACTAATTCATCACTCTGTACATTGGGAATCTCTTAAATCCCCAACTATCTGGAATTCCCAGTAGATGAATCATTCTAGAAATTATTCTGGCCTTTCCAAATAGCTGGCAGTTTGTCCATGATAATAATTTAGTCTTTTCTAGATGTCTCCAGTTTATTGTTATAAACATCTATTACAGCAATATGCCTACACAGGCAATTGAGGTATTTGGGATTATCTGCCCTAGTGTAAATAGCCTTAAAGTGCTTTGGTCTTTGAATTCTTTGTTCCTCTTTATAATCTTCATGTTTCTTCCCCATCTATCTGATTTATATTAATTACTTTCTGGTCATTAACTTCCTCTGAAGTCAAAGTTTAGAACACTTTGTTCTAAATTGATACTTCTAATTTAACTTAAATGAGAAACTAGACACCCACAAATGTTAGCGGGGTTTGTTCTGTAACAGTAGACTCCTCATGGGTGCTTTCCTATTGCACAAAATGCACAGAAAATGGTGCATAGGGTTTAAGTACCTGAAGGCTGCTTTTTTGTTTTGCTTTTTTTTTGGTCTTGGATTCTCATTTGTGTTTTATGTAGAGGATATGCTGATTTTTAGACAAGTGAGGTATATAGGTATATTTTTAAAATAATGATATAATAAAAATCTCCTTATAGAAAACATTTTTAAAAGCTAAATCAGTGACTGTATTTTTTACCACTATTGATAAATGTACAAATCCCACTAAAAACTCAGTGAAACCCAGATAGCTTCACTGATTAATCCTGTCAAATATTCAAAGATGATATACATTTAAGTTCTTCACAAAAGTTGCTAGAAAATAGAACAAGAGATATTTACCAATTCATTCTTTGAGACTGGTCTTATCCTGATAACCAATCCAGATGAGGCTGGTCTTACCCAGATAACCAAACCAGACAAGGACATCATAAGAAAAGTACATATCACTATCCCTCATAAAAAAGAGGCAAAAACCCTAAAAGTTACTAATAAACTGAATCCAGCAACTTATAAAAAGGATTATACACTATGACCAAGTAAGATTTGTCCTAAGATTTCAGGATAGTTCGATACGTGAGAAATAATGAATGCAATATACCATGGTAGTAGAACACACGTCAAAAAATCAGTTCCATTTACAGTAACAGCAAAGAATGAAATACTGAGGAAAAAGTTTAACAAAACAAGTACAAGTCTTGTTCACTAAAAACTACAAAATGTTGCTGACAGAAAATTTTAAAAGATTTACATAAATGGAAAGATATTTCAGGTTCATGGGCCAGAAGGGTCAATATTATTAAGATGGCAATATTTTCCCAAATTGAACTGTAAATTTAATGCAATCCTTACCAAAATCCTGGGATTTTTTTTTTTTTTTTTTTTTTTGTAAAATATTCAAGTCTAGCCTAGCCTGGGCAATTTAGTGACTTACTGAGACCCTGCCCCATCACAGTAAACAAAAAAGGACTGGGGATGTAGCTCCATGCAAAAGCCCTCGGTTCCATCCCCAGTACCAAAATAAATAAATATGGGTTTTAGTCTAGGAGGGACTCCTCCTGTGTCCTGATCCCCCTGTGCTGCAGCGTAGTCCCTGTTAAAAAAAAAGAAAGAAAGAAAGAAAGAAAGAAAGAAAGAAAGAAAGAAAGACTTTAAATTTACATGAAAAGTCACAGCATGGAGAATAATCAAAAACATTTTGAAAAGGAGAAATAAAATTGGAAGAGGTATACTTTCTTATTTCAAAACTTACTACAAAGGTACAACAACCAAAACAGTGCAGTAATGGCAAAAGGACAGACGTTAAAATCAGTGTGGCATAATTGAGAGTCCAGAAATAAACTTTTACATTTATACCTATTTGTTTTTTGACAAGTGTGCAAAGACAAGTCAATGAGGAAATAGTAGCCTTTTCCACAAACAGTTTTGGGAAAAACTGACATCCGTGTGCCGAACTAGGAAGTTGGATCCGTACTTCGTACCATACACCACCAATCTTTTGGGTAATTGAACACAAGACCCCATGTTGACCCTTAGGAAAACACAAGAACGCTTAAGACTATAATTGTTTTTCTCCCTATGCAAGACTATGACAATATAGGAAGAGAACTACAACATATAATTGAGTAAGTATCACCAGACAAATGCTATCAGCACCTTGACTGTTACTATGCTGCTCCAAATGACTATCATCTGTCCCTTCTGCAATTTCTTTTTCTTTGGTTCCTGCACTTCCACCATGCCTTCCTAAGGTTGGCTGTTTTCACCATAGCAGCCAACATGATCCTTTTCAAACCTAATTCAAGTCAGATGTGGAGGTGCACACCTTTAATCCAAGCTATGTGGGAAGCTGAGGCAGGAGGGTTGCAAGTTCACTGCCAGGCTGGGCAACTTGATGATGCTGTCTCAAAATAAAATTTTTAAAAGGAGGTGAGGATACAGCTCAGAGCTCCCTGGGTTCAATCCTCAGTCTCACACACACACAAAATCAGATCACTCCTCTGTTTGAACTACTTCAGTGATTTCTTCTCTCACTGAGTGTCATATTCTAGGTCTTTAATATATATTTCAGGCTGTCTGTGATTCCTGTCTCCTGCTGTCACTCAGCATGCATCAGCCAGGCGTGCTGTCACTTTAGAACTTCTGCCCAGGATATCCTCTCTGCCTAGAGCTTTTTCCTCCAGATTTCGCTGCCCGGCCTGCTCTCTGTCCTTCTTCAAGTCTTTGTTCAACTGTCACCCCCATAGTAAGCCAACCCTCACCACTTTATTGAAATATTCAGTACCCACCCCAAGAATTCCCCATCTCCCTTCCATGCTTTACTTTTCTACACTGCTTTTAACTTCTTCTGACGTGCATCACATCATTTCTTTTCTTATATGGGTCTCTGTCTAACTGCCCTTCACTGCCAAAATGTGAGTTCCAGGAGGTTAAGTTCTGTCTTAGTTCACTGCTGTGTTCGCAATGCCTATAACAGTATCTGGCATACAGCATAATAGTATAATAGTTTCTCTTTTGCCTATAACAGTATCTTGCAAACAGAGGGAGGCTTTATTTGAAATGTATGAATTGTGTTTAAGAGGGACTATTTGGCTTTAGGAGACAGGTGTGTAGAAGAGATTTAAGCAGATGAGGTCAAATTGTGGAGGTTCCTGAATGCCTAGAATAAATGTATGAGGCATTCCACAAATACTGGATAAATGAGTAAAAGAGAGGATAAATGAGCAGTGTGAGTGCGTTCTGTGGACTACCTTGTAGTCCAGAGAGTTGACCGCGATGGATTATGGAGAAACTAACTCTGGAACTTTAGCAATCCCCCCAAAAAAACCCTTCTATGGATAAAATAACCTATGGGAAAGCTGAAGTGCTCTGTACTATGCCTGAAATGGTCACTAGGGAAGGCCCAAATCCATAGGCAAAACTGTTAAGAATGAAGCTGGGCTCTCCCAAAAGAAGCTACCGAAGAGTGGCGAAGGATGTTTCCAGTAATGTTTTCTCAGTCTGCTCTACCCTGTGTCCCGTACCTCAGTGCTAAGTACGTTAGTGGACGTATGATCAGTGACCTTGGCATTCAAGACTCGTCAAAATGGTGCTTCATTTTCCACCGCTTCTCTTAAGCAGACATACGGCATCATATATGTATCTATATATACATCTTCCTGTCCACCTATTTCTTTTATTCTGCTCTCTCTGCTTATCATTACCCATTCAGTTTGCATATGTCACTTTAAAGCCCAGCACAAAAGCTACATTCTCCTTCAGCCTTCCCTAAGTACTATTGTTCTTACTGCCCACTGCCTTTCTGAGATCCCAGGACTCTCTTTATTTGTCCCAGCTGAGAGTTACTTGATAAACATAGTCCCCCTCCCCGCGCCGCATTCTAGAGCTTCCCGTGAAATCAGAAATCTACCATTTATGGACTTGCAGAAAGGTAAGGGACAGAGGTCAAGAATGAATTTATGAAACAAACAAAAACTAAAGTTATGATCCTGCAGGATTAGTAAGGAACAGTGTATTCTTGGGAGGCCTCTCTAAAAGCCAGATAAAGTCCAGCTGGCCTTGGAAGAGATGTTATCTCTAGCTCCTAGACCCTACCCTTAGGGTTGCAGGAACAGCCTGGCCTGCCCAGTGTCACCCCCTTCTCAAGCAAGCCCCCACTGCCCCAGGCCTTCTTTGGCCTGCCTTCATTATTCAGGCTAGTTCAAGTGCTCGGCCGCTAGTAGATGGGGAGCACTAATAGACGCCTGGGGCCTTTTTCCCTTTTAGCCTCTGTGCACCTGCTGTACTCTGGGCTTTGTTCTCTGGAAGCACGATAAAGAGCAATACAGAAATCATGTTGAACATGACACTGTGCTGTAGACAGCACGTACCAGCCATGTGTCCTGGGGCAAGCAGGGGAAGTCAGAGCCTGCCTGGCAAACTCTGTGCCCAAATTTGTCCAAACCAGCTCCTGGCCAGCAAGCCCAGGGGCAGTGGGAGGGGAAGGTTGAACGGAGGTAGAAGAAAAGTCAGCATTTACGTTAAACCCACGGAAGCACCTTGTGAGGAGGTACTTCATCACTATTTTAAAAGGCGTGACATTCAGGCTCAGAGAAGTAAGGGGACTTGCCCTGCGACAGTTAGGGAGTACTAGGTACAATTTCAATCCAACTCCCAACGGCTGCAATGAAGCAGCCTCTTTCTCCTATTTCTCTCCTCTTAAGCTGACACAGTGCCAGGCAGGGTGGGGGTGCTCAGATCCTTTGCTGGCTGAGGATTTCCCAAAGCAGGCATTTGTTACTTACATTGGACGATGTGCGATACCATCAGCGCCGTGCAGTTATCACTGCATGGAAGCCTTCCTACAGCCAAATCCTTCTTTATCTGAAGAGTGAAAAGGTACCTGCAAAGAAGTTGGGGGGAACCTCTTGACAAAGCGGCAAGAAGAAAGAAGCATTCCCCTTCTCCCAGATCCAAGGTGAAACGAGAGGAATGGCACCGGGTCACAAGCCTTCAGTAATGATGAAGGACACATAGGCTTTGTGTGAGCCCTAGGCCAGCCCCACGCCACCACTCTGGCTCATGCAGCATTTTGGCAGGTTTCATAGCCACTAGGAATCACCCTGACCAAATCCTCTCGCCAACTTGTGGGAGCAGGCCAGTCATCCTCTGTTTTTTTCTGCCATGTCGTAGCAAAGCCACATCCTGAGCTAGAGAGGAAAGGAGACCCTGCAAGCATGAGTGTGCTTGGGAAGCCAATATTGCACTGCTTCCAAAGTGCTTATCAAGTGCTCACTGTGGCAACTGAGGAGGTGGGCAGAGCAGGAAGATCGCCCCATTGTACAATTATGCAAAGTGGAGTTCAGTGATTTTGACAATGTCTGATCACCCACAGATAGTGAAACCGGCTAGAACTCCGGTCTGCCACTGAAACCAGGCTGCCTGCCGTGCAAAAGCTTGTGTTTCAGAGATCAAGGACCTGGGGTCGTGCTCCTGTTGGTGTCATTCCTTTTGGCGGCACTGCTATCTCTGTATCACCAGAGCTTAGCACAGCGCTTTACACAGAATAGGTATGTAATTAAGGCTTACTGAATGGAACTAAGCCAGACTGACATTTTTCCCACTGATGCCTCATGAGGGACTCATAAAATGCAGGTTGGTATTCAGGTTTCTGCCTAACAGACAGCGTTTGTCTTACACATACAAGGCCCTATCAAAGGAAAATCAAATTTGAAAAAAAAATGTGTATAACAGAGACTCCACCACTGACTTCTTTCTTCCATGGACCAAAATTGGCTCCAACATTTTATTTGGGTAACCAATTAAGCCTTGAAGGCAATATGGTGGATAAAAATTAATTGCAGGGAAGAGATAGAGATCTAGAGAAAAAAACTTAGGAGGCGATAATTCAGTTTACAAAAACATTAATCATTACAACCCTTCAAACTGTGAGCTCCTCTAATGCATTAGAAATGTTTCTGTTAGAAAAATTATGTTTGTATACTACTCCCAGAAATTCACGTATTAGCCTCAAGCAAGGCATTCCCACAAAACCAACTGCAATTAAGTATTCTTAAGTGGACAAATGGGGGAAAAATCAAAGGAAGCCTAACTTTGACCATTGCCTATTTTCGAATACAGATGTATGTGAGAATAATCAGTTCTCTTGCTAAAGGGAGAATAAATGTATTTTGCTCCTAGCAAGAGAGAAAGGAAGCCTCTTATCATTTGACACATTCCTTGCTGTGAAGAGGGCAGCTGCCTGCTACAAATACCAAGTTCTTACTCTGAACAGTTGATGAATCATGAATCATTTATCATCACACTGATTTGCTCATTTTTTGAGAAAGTTTCTCTCCACCAAAATTGGTCATATTTAGAACTCAGCTGAAATGGTTTGGCAAATGCAAACTGATATAGATACCAAGGTATCAAATTCTCTGAGAGAGTGGCCTGCAACTCACAAGTGTGGAGAGAATTGAGAGCGAAAGGGAGAGAAAGAGGCTTGTGAAAAGTGACTTCTGCAAAGACCCAGAAGGAAGGTGTCCTTGTACAAAAGGGGAGACATGCCCTGGCTGTGAATCATAAAAGAGGGGGGACATTAGGGAGAATAACTGCCAACATCCCATGATCTTTGTCAAGTCACTTTAGCTCCCAGGACATGATTGCTCATCTGTAAACCAAGAGGGCTGGACTAGGGTACCTCTTAGCTCCATTCTGTGTGTAAGAGTCTAAGTTTGGAAAGCAGAGTGAGGCTGTAGGGAGTGTTATGTTGACAATATATTTTTGTAGAAAAAGTTTCACATTGTGATTTTGAAGGGCATTTTCCAAAGTACACATAATCATCATTTCTGAATGTTTCACTTTCTACCTCTGAAATACATCCTCGCACACTCCCTTTTCAATGTCTATGGAAATCAGCTGGCATTACAGCTATACTGCTTAAGACATAAACACCATGGAAAGAAAGCATGCTTGTTGCTGTAGTGGTTAACGGCATGTCCACTAAGTGGTCACTCAGGTCTGCTACCCCTTTTAGCACACCACCCCACCTGACTTCTCCCTGCAGCCCTAAACTTTTGGAAGATCAACACCTTGGTGATCAGCCAGGCCTTCCTTCACCAGTTCCACACCATTTCCTGAGAGTGATTAAAAGCCAAGCCTTGCAAGAGAAAGCTGGAAGCCCCTTCCCTGATAAATGAAGAATGACGATTCTCAAGTAGCATCATGCAGCAGACACACAGGTGGGTAACATACCTTGTAAGTTCTTCCCGAAGATGCCCAGGGTCCACTGGGAAAAATTTCACCATAAATTTGAAAACAACCTCCTTAGGATCTTAAAACACAATATCTCCATAAGTTTTATTTAAATGTGAATCACAACAATTACAGGTCTTTACACACATGTGAGCGTGCACACACACACACACACACACACACTTCTCCACTTCCCTCCCCTCTCCATTACTCCTTCTTGTAGACTTTTATTTTACATTTCAATTTTTCACATGTGGCAGGATTGTGTCTGTATGTGGACAGCAACTGAGAAAAGTTCTCCCACTCCTTTTTCCTTTTTTGTTTCTTTTTGTAAAGAAGTGCCCTTTTGGATCTTGGGACAATAATGCTAAGTAAAATAAATAAGTCTCAGAAGGTTAAACATCAGATGGTTCTTTCAGTATGAGAGACCCAAAATAGAAATAATTTCAAGAGCCAAATAAAAGAGAGATAATAACAAACAGGGAGGTACACTCGAGATGGGAAGGATCTGGGGAAGAAGGGAGGAGGGCAAGGAAGGGTAAAAATTGACCAAGATGGGATATGTGTACGTACCAGTCCCCTAAGATGAATGTCATTATTCTGTATGACAGCTTATACTAATAAAAATGAAAAGAGATATACCCATTTGGGCCTACTGTGTACTCTTTTAAGAGATGTCCTAGTCAAAAAAATATACCACTTGCTTCTTGGGGCTCTGCATGGTTTCCTGAGAAGAGTGCTCAGTTTTAGCTGGGGTGAATGAATATCAGCTGGTGTCAGAATCTCATAAAGGAAACCAGAAGCAGTGTGGACCAATCTCTCTGTCTTAAGACATGTCTTTAAAAACTGTATCTACTCACTTTCACATCTACTTGGTCTAGAAAATAAGAAACTGGGGGTTGGGGGTATAGCTCAGTGGGCTAGTGCTTGTGTAGCATGCAAAAGCCCTGGGGTTCTAGCTTCAGGAATGCAAAAAAATTATATCAAAATTGTCCACACACTTGCAGCATTACCATTTATTCAGTAAGCATTTGTTGAGTGCTTCTTATGTGCCAAGTATCGTGCTGGGTGGATACTGGGGGCAAAAGGACAAGTCAGAGCTCCAAGTCAGACGGGAGAGACATGCATCCAGATAGACGAAATATCTGGACAGATTGTACCACAAAATGTTCCAGAATATTGGGAAGCACAGAGAAAGAAAAGAGTTTGGAGACTGTCTAAGAAGTCTTTCTCCTAGAGGAAGTGACACCTAAGTAGGGCTCTAACATTCAGCGAATCAAAATGTAGGACCCCAGTTCAATTTGAATTTCAGTTAAACACTATTATAGGACTATTTATACAAAAATTTTCCTTTGTTTACCTGAAATTCCAATTTAATTGAACATCCTGTTTTTTATATTTGAAGACTACAGCTGAGATTAGTTTTGTCAAAGTCAGAAGAGGAAGAAATACAAGTGGTTAGTAGCAGGGGCAAAGCTAGATAGTTAATCAGAGTCCAGTGCTTTGGGTGCTTTGTCCAGAACAAGACTGGACACTACTCTAAGGGTCATTGGAAACCATGGAAGTGTTCTAGGCAGGAGAGTAATGTGCTCAGGGTAATATTTTCAGTAGATCCCTCTAGGAGTAATGTAGGTGATGGATTGGAAGGAATCAATTAAGAAGTTCTTGGAGTAATGTGACAGATGATCATTATGCAGTGGGAACACACAGAACTATAAGAAGAACCAACATAAAGACCAGGTTGAGGAAGAGGAATCAGGAAATAAAGACACTAAGGCAATATTTCTCGAAGTACTGGATAGAGTCTACTTGCCTTAGAAACACTTGTGGAATTGGTTAACCATGCAGGTTGATGGTACTCAACCCAGGCATGAGGGTGATAAGAACTCCAGGTGATCCCCTAATATACACTGAAATTTCAGAACCACTACCGTTGATTATGAAGCACAGGGGAAAAAATTCACATATAGTAGGCACCCTAATATGAACTGAAGCAAATTGGCAATGCTTGAAATGGGCTCAAAGTAAAGAATCTTCAGGCAGAGGGCGAATGGCATTGCAGATTGACATGAAGAATGCTTGAAGATTCGCAGTGGCGGAGCGTGAGCTATCTTCCTAGAGCCAATCCGCAGAGTGCTGTAATTACCAGCCTTCTTCACAGGTACTCAAGGGTGCAGCAGCGTGAGCTCCTTCATCTCAAGCAAAATTAACACAATTTTCTAAATTGCTAAATGTACTGAATGTGCAAAGGACTGAAATACTATATCAAAGCCCTCCCCCCCATATGAAGGTGAGGAATTGTGTAGGGTTGCTGAAATACATATTTTTCAAGTTTTAACTGAGAGCTATATTCCTTAAATGACTTTCCATACTTACTTTTTACTTGCTTGGTTATGGGCTTCAGAAGTTCCAACCAAACCTGAAATAACATTAGTGAAAAACTTGGTAGAACATGGCATTGAGTGCAGTTTTTTTTCCCCCATTTCTTTAGTAACAAATAAAGGTCAACATGAAATACACAAATAGTGGGATTATTTAGATTTCTAAAGATCATTGGAAACATAGTAATGTCAAAGAGACGGCATAATTTTGCCACATTCAATCTGCCCCTTGTATTTTTCTAATGGCAGTGAACATTGCTGATCTAGAATTTCTTTGTTGTTGACATTTGAATCCCTGCTCCCCTGCCTCAGAAGTGTCACATACAAAGCTCGTTAGTTGCTACAAAGACTAAGGAAGGCATTTGTCTCCATATTTAAATCCTGCCATTCCCAAATTCCAGCTTAATAGACCTAATGAGGCTTTCTGGCACGGTGCTTAGGCTCGGCAAAACAGGAAAGGGGATTCCCCTGCACATCCGCTGCTGAGGTCAGGAGTCTTAATTTTCAGGGTTGAGGTCCAGTCTCTGGAAAGTCAAAATGGGTAAAGTGCTGACAGCTGTTCACAGAGACAAAACAATGAGTTATGTGGTAGAAGAATTTGTGTTTGGCAAACCGTGATGATTTTTAATAAATAGGGGGTTAAGTTATTAAATTCAATAATGTTGCAAGGGCATAAATGGGTTTTTGTCTTTCGGCTGGGGTTGAGCCCCGCATAGCTCTATGCGGGTTGCCTCTAGCAATTCTAGACACATACACGTGGGCCAGGGATATAGCTCAGTGGTACAAGCATCTGCCTGGCAAGTACAAGGTCCTGAGTTCCATTCCCGGTACCAAAAAGAAAAAAAGAAAAAAAAATAGACACATACAACCCTATAATAAAACTGACTTACATTATTTCCAGAATGGCTGCAGAATTCTAATCCAAAATATTCTTTTTCAACAAGATTGAGGTGGCTGCAGCTCAGGTTAAACAGTGCTTTTCCAGACGATTTTTGCTAAACAAAATGAAGAGATTATAGCATAGTTTGTGTATCTAATCTGGCATTGAAAATACAGTGTGGAGAAAAGGGTCAAGGCAACAAGACTCTTGAAGATTCATTTCCTTTAAGCACCATTTAGAGTACCTGCCGCTGTCCTTCTAAAGGATGCTGAGAGTGCTACCAACAGACCCTCGCATCTATCTGTAGATGATTTTAGCGACATCCCCGAAGAAGCCTTAGAATGCGGGAGCCTTTTGGAATAAGACGGCCTTGTATTTAACCATGGCTGGATCTGCAAATTTACCCTTCCAATGCACATCCTTAATCAGTGCATCTTACAAAAAATTTGAATGATTTTCCCTAAACTGACAGATCCTTTAATCAAGATACAAATCTGACCCACTTAAAATCCTCTGTGACTCTCCTGCTCCTCTGTAGGGGAGGCTGGCATTCCCTCCCCGGGCCCTGCCTGCCCCTCAACCTCATTCCTTGCCCTCCGCCTGCCACTTTCCTCTCTCATGATCTCGGCCCCTCGCGGTTCCCCACATTGTCAATTCCCACCATGCTTTGTGCCTGTGCTGCTGTCATCTCTAGCACAGCTGCCCTTCCCACCTTACCTTGCTTTGGCTGACTCCTACTCACGGTCATCACCCGCGCAGGCCCCCTGCTTGCCAGTGCCCTGGCTTACCGCAAACATGCCCTTCTCACACTGGATTTCTGGTTCCCCCCTGAGACTGAGTTCCTTCGCAGCAGGGACCATGCTTTCTTACTCTTCTCACCAGGTCTAACTCAGAACGTGCCACATCCTTGAGGCTCTTGAATGTTTGCTGATTCAACATGAAACTGGTCAAATTAATCATCTGACTCTTTGAGTAGATTTCATTTTGCGGCGTGGCCCACCAAATCTGTACCCAGCATACTGTGTTCACTAAGGGCCCACATGGTGTTTTTTCTTCTAAAGCGCCCGGCAGCATTCGTGCGCATGAGTGCGCACATGTATTTTACACACACACACACACACACACACACACACACACAAGCACGCAAGCACTGTGAGCACAAAGCAGTGGCTATCTTAGGCGCCTCTGAGAACAAGAGCTTCGAAGGGCTCTCCTTGAACATCTCTGAGTTGAGCATGGCCAGGATAATCTTCAGCCACCGCCTGCTGTCATTGCCGTTGCAGGGAGGATGCTGATGGGAAAATTAGGCCCTGGTTCATAGGCACAAAGACACTCTGCTGAAAACCCCTAGTTAACGTCGAGTCACGAGGCGCCTGGAGTGCTGCAAAGGAAGCCCTGCTCCAGGGAAACATAGCAGGAAATCACCGACCCATAGAATTAACAGCAACCTTGAGAGGTCAGGGAATCCATCCTCTCCACCCGCACCCCAAGGCGGTACCACAAACAGAGCCCACATCTGGGATTTAATAGCTTCCAGGAAGAAGGCTACCTCACCCCTTCCCCCACAGACCAAAAATACATCCCTCTCCCCGTGGACTTCCCTGCACTTGGTTACACTGCCCAGAGCTCCACCAGCTCAAATTCATGTGGGTTTAACCAGGGCCATATTTTGAAATGCAAATAGGCCACAAAGGGTGAAAGCCATGGCATCCTGAGCACCTGGACAGAGAGCTGCTGTATGGAGGGAAAAGGGCTTTGATGTAGTGTGGGAGATCACACCGGGGCTAAGGTCCAGGAAAGGGAGTCAGCGCTGGGGGTGGGGTGCCAAGGACAGGTGAGGGGGTTGAGGGAGGGGTGCCCAGTCTGAGGAGGGGGGCGGAATTTCTGCCTATGTGGCAATCTTGCCTAGGGCAAGTGCTGACACGGACCATTCCAGACAGATGAAATCGCTCCTATTTTTAAAGTCCTCCAGACAAGGAGATGCCACGGGATTTTTATTATGAAAAAAAAATTTCTAAAGAGAGAGAGATGACAGCAATGCTTTTTCTAACACCGGAGAAACATTTCAGTCACGAGGCCTAGATTCCATCATAGACTGCAGTTTCATTGCAACTGATTCAAGAAGCTCAATGTTTTGCTTTTTTCCTTCTTCATTTTTATTCTTATTTTCCACCAGGACACTTCAACCTCCTCATCGATGCTGCCGCCTTCCATGTGTTCGTGTACTTAAATGTTTCTGTAGGCATGAAGAATAAATATATAGCAATACTTGTAAGGCTTTGAGTCCAGGGTTTCTTTTTGCTCTTTTCCTTAAGATGCCGTAGCATGTTTATAAGAAGTATCCCCTGATTCTTCCATTCTTCCATTACAGTAAATGTTGTCAAATGGCTCTAGAAGCCTTTGGTATTTATGCACTTGGAGGTCAGGTGCTCATGGGGCTCATGCTCCCCGCCCCCAACCCCGCCCCCAGAACAGGCTTATTTCCCTTGAATCCTCCCTACGATGAAATTGGCCAGCCTTGTGGAATGAGTTGTGTAACAGGTATGGTCTTGATTCTGTTTCAACATGTAGTTTTTAATTTTTTCTGCCATTATGATCCAATGCCTCAATTTTGATGTAATGATTATTTTTCTCATGATATCTCCTTATGTACAACTGAGTTATTTTTTTCTGGACTTCTAATTCTCTGCACAGTTGATTGCTCTTGTTTAACCTAGCACGTTTCAACACTCTGATAAACCTCCTTCCTGGTTGCTCTGGGGGTTAAACAACATAATTTACATCAAGGTCTTCCTTCTGTGCCTGGCACATCATATGACATGAGCGATGCATAGAAAAATACAATGAAATGAATATATTTGTGACAGTTCTAATTGTTATTGTAAATGTACAATTTAATTCAATTATGTATATCAAAAAATGGTATGAACAGTAAAAGCATGAGTTGTTTCTAGGAAAAGTAAGCTGATCTGTTTATAAAAACTCAATAAGAGTGAATCCTTAAACAATATACTGTCAAAGTAGTTTTGGATGTGATAGTGGTAAAAGACTGGAATAGACAGTATATCAAAATCTGAAAGGATTGTGTACCCGAATTACTTCCCATGCAGCTACATGTGTTTTCTGTATTAAAGCAGCCAACATGAAATCACAGATGATGCATAATGGATGTGATTTAAGAAAGACAAAGGGGAGTGCAAGCAGAGGTCCACACTGAAAAAGAAAGTGCCCAGGCCTTACATAAAAAATTGACATATGAGCATACAGGTACATTTTATGTTACAATAAATACAACGGTCTCCACTTTAGCTAATTATATTATTTAACTGCCAAATAACGTCTGTGGACAACATTAGAAAAAGATTCTAACGTTGGTCATGATGGTGCATGCCTATAATCCCAGCACTCCAGGAGGCTGAGGCAGGAGGATCACAAGTCCAAGCCCAGCCCTGGCAACTTAGAGAATTAGCAGGGACTTCTCTCAAAATAAAACTGAGCTAGGGATATAGTTCAGTGAGAAGACCCTGGGTTCAATTCCTAGTACTTCTACCCCAAAAGAGATTCTAATGTATCCACATACTGATTGCCAGAAAAAAATTACAGACTATAATACAATTAAGATTTCAGAAACACATAGACAGGAAACAAATAAAACACATTATTAATGATAGCCTAAAAGTTACTTTTACTTTTTTCTTATATTCATTGTATTTTCCAGAGCAACACAATTGATATTATAAAAGTAAAAAGACTAATATCATACAAAGTATCTTATAGATAATTCTCTTTTTCCCACTGTTGACCCTGATATTCAGAGTACTATTATGCTGTCCTTAGGAGATTGCACTCAATGTCACAGATGATAATCACTCATTCTCCTCTACAGTTACAGGTCATTTCTTTAATCCTCAGACTTCTTAGTCAGAGAGACTGCATAACAAAATACCACCAAGGGGCTGGGGATTTAGCTCAGCGGCAAAAGTGCCTGCCTGGCAAGCGCAAGGTCATGAGTTCGGTTCCCGGTACCAGAGAAAAACCAGAAAAACCAAAAAAAAAAAAAACACAAAAAAAACAAAATACCACCAACTAGCAACTGACAGAGCGAAATCAATTTGCTCACACTTCCATAGGTTGGGAATCTGACACGAGGGTGACAGCATAGTCAGGTCCTGTCAAAGGCTCTTTTCATGGCTTACAGATGGCCACCTTCTCCCTATGTCTTCACCTGAAGGGAGGTTAAAGACAAGGAGATCACTTCCTCTTCTTGTAAGGCTACCAATTCTTTTGGATAAGGACCCCATCTCAATGCTCTCCTGTAACCTTAAGTACCTTTTAAAGGCCCTCTCTCCAAATATGCTCCCATTGTGGGTGCAAGCTTCAACACTGGAATTTTGGGAACACACAAATCTGTTCATAGCAGTGCCCAAACTTGATGGTCATTTTAGTTACCATACTTACTCTTTATCATTTTTGGCTGTTCTCAAACACTAAATATACTTTTTAATAATGAAAATATATGAGGCATTTTGGAAAGAATGCATCCAGTTACAGAAAGCCAAATGGGAGTTCCAAGAATGTGCTGAGCACCGGCAATAAATATGAAGAGGCCGAACATCATGGTGGCTGAGAAAGTGGGCTCTAGGGCCAAACATACCTGAGTCTCATTTGACTCTTCTCCCTATATACAAGTGATCTTGGGCAGGATCCTTCACTTTGCAAAGTCTCAGTTTCCTCAATGGTGAAACGGAAGGGTCAGAAGCCAGGCACAAATGGCTGCATATTACCTGATTCCATTTGCTTGAAATATCTAACATAGGGAAATCCATACAGGCAGAAGGTGAATTAATAGTTTCCAGGGGCTGTGGACAAGGTGGAATGGGAGGTTACTGCTAACTAGTATGTGGTTCCTTTTCGAGGTGATAAAAATATTTGGGAATTAGACAGTTGCAATGGTTGTACAATGTAGTGAATATATTTCAAATCATTTAGTTACATAGTTTAAAAGGATGAATTTTTTGGTAAGTGCTTTGTGTTTCAATTCCAAAAATGGTTACAGTGAGTAATTTCTATGGTGTCTGGCCCAAAGGAAGATCTCAAAAAGTGTTGACTATTAGGAAATAACCATTTAATTTCTCAAACAAACTTGGATAATTTGAGGGTGATAAGGACATTAGTAATATTTATATTGTCACAGCAGGATTGTCATGGATAAACCCAGATGTATGGCTGCCTAACCATTAGCATTTGGACAACCTGTAGGGTCTGTTGTGACAGAAGCAGTATTTCTTTGAATATTCAAGATCTGGAATATTAGGGATCACCTGCACCGCTATTAGTCTCTTCTCATAAAACCAGTACCTCCTGATCATTTCTCCGGTGGCAACTGAATGGGTTACATTTTGGTCACTTTTACCCTGTAATTCCACATTTTCAAAGTAAAGCTCAGCTATAACAGGAAACAAAAGCCCAAAACAGCACAAATGACAAGAACAGTCTACGGCCATACCACCCTGAACGTGCCTGATTTTGTCTGATCTCGGAAGCTAAGTAGGGTCAGGCCTGGTTAGTACTTGGGTGGGAGACAAGAACAGAGAACTGCTTCACCAATCTTAACCGTCTACTTGATAAACACTTTGAAAGCCAAACCCCTACCTATCCTTTAGCCTGTGTTTTCTCCATTCTTTCTCTTTTTTGAGTTCCTTTTGTTTTTCTGATGTGATTTTCACTGCCTAAACTCAGTTTAACTTTGATACACGTGCCTTTGTCCTCCCGTACATGCCTTTTCGTTTCTGTGACATATATAATTCAACACATTATCGAGCACCTGCTCTGTGCCAGGTACTTTTCTAGTCTCCTGGGAGACTGCAGTGAAGAAGACACAGTTGTGACCACAAAGGAACACATAGGCTTGCAGCCAAAGCAAGCCCATCAATGGCTTCTGACAGCTTGGCAAATGGCCTTTGCAAAGGTATGTACTCAAGGGGCAATATGAGTTCACACCCAGAAGGCAACTAACCCAAGACAGGGGTACAGGGATTTCTAACGGAGGGCCAAGTAATCAGGATTACGCAAGAGTTGGAGTCAGCCATGTGAAGAAAAAGAAAGGAGCAGGTTCACTGAGGCAGAAGAGATTAGAAAACCAGGTGTGGACAATGAACCTGCAAGCAGTTTGGAGTTGCTGAAGGACAAAGGGTGCTTCAGTAGCTGGAACAGTGGGCTGGGGCCTTATATACCAAGAAGGGCCCGAAGGTAAGGGCAGGATGGGAATGGGAATAGCTGAATGACTCGCAGCGGGGAATTGGCATGGTTAGAGCTGTGGTTTAGAAATATTAGCCAGGAAGTTGTTGGGGCATAGCTTTGCAAGCTATGAAGTGTGCATGAACCACCCATGGTTTTGTTAAAATGCAGATTTAGGTTCAATAGATGTGAGGGTGTCACCATTTGAGAGAAGACTGTCGCCTGAACTAAGGCAATAGTGGTGACAATAGAAAAAGGTAAGATGTGAGACATATCTCCATAGTGGGTGCAGCAGAACTTAGGTAGGTGAGACAAAGGAATAATCCCACATATGCTTGGGTTTCTCTTTGCAGGCTTTAGAGGCTAGTTCCCCTTTTCCCCTCTGCCAGGTTGAGGCTCTCACACACCCAAACTGAGCTTAGCCTTCCTTTTTGACCAATAAAGGGGATTAAATCTAGGATTGTGAGCTACATCTGCAGCTCTATCTATCTGTCTGTCTGTTTATCATCTATCTATATACTTATGTATCTATTTGCCTATCTATTTAAATTTTGAGACAGGGTTATTATGGTTTACATCTACAATGACCCCAGCCCCTAATGCCTCACATGTCTGGGAGGTGTGTGCCTCATACAGGCAATATGGCAGACTTGTTTTTAGGAAGGGGAGTCTAATCAGAAGAAGCTGGGCACTGGGAGTGTGACCTGGAAGGATGTGTCTCCCTCCCCTGCTCTCTACCCTTTACTCTCTGCTTCTCTACTGAGCAGTTTCTCCTCTCCTATGCCCCTCCGCCGTGAGGTCCTGCCTTGGAGCCAGTTGAATATGGATCGAAATGTGAGGCAAAAGCAACGTCTCCTCCTTTCAATTGTGGCTGTTGGGTACTGTGCCCAAGTGATGGGAAGGTGATTAAGACAGGGTCTCTCTGTGTTTCTCAGGTGGGACTCAAACTTGCAATCCACTGGCCTAGGCGTCCCAAGTAGCTGGGGTGACAGGTGTACATCACTGCCCCTGGCCTAAGGCTATGTTTTACAGTCTTTTATACCTTCACGCACATCCCTGCCACTTATTTATCAACTGGCCCACTGACCGCAGCACAGCAAGGCACTGTCGAAGCAGCTTGCCTCCATCCCACCCACACCTTGTTACCAAATTCTTCCCACACTGACCTTTCCACCCGTAGGAATGCTGCAACATTCCTCACCAATCTCTGCACATATTTGAGCCCGTGGTTTGCCACTCCCTACTCTGCAGGTATGAAAAGAAATTCAGGGCTTGTCGTATCTAAAGCTAACATAAACTGATAAAATGTCCCTTTGACACCCACCTCTGATGTGTTCACTATTTTCTTTTATGGTCACCCACCTGGCATTTTCTTTACTGTCCTTGGAGGGTCTTCATGTGTTATTTCATTTGCAACTGACCCCAATCACTCATCCAGCACAGGCCCAGAACCAGTTATATTCATCACAGAATGAACACATTGCCAGTCAGCACCTTTGCACAGATACACATCCTTCACCATTGTGAACCAGTTCCTCTTGGCTACTCTTCTCACTAATTTCTGTTTCTCCTTTGACTCTTCAAGTGCTGAGCTCCAAATAGCATTTTGGAACCCAGAACCATGAGATCACTCTGTGGAGAGGACTGGACTTACACTAAGTGGAATTAGAAATTCTGGAGTTGAACCAGGGATGTAGCTCAGTGGTACAAGCGCCTCTGTGCCACACACAAGGTCCTGAGTTTGATTCCCAGTACTAAAAAAAAAAGAAAAGAAAAAGAAAAAAAAAGAAATTTTGGAATTATTTCTGCATTTTGATACCAGTAGGTAAACTTCGGGCTAAGCATGTTTTCAGTGTTGCTGATTTAGTCTCAGGTGTAAACCTCAGTGAAATCTTGTTCAGTATCTTGATATATTCTGTCACTCCAATCCTTCTTTCTGTTGATGAATGGCAACAGGTGTGCACCTTACTTCCAGAGAGCTTGGACCCTCGGAAGGCAAGCTTTCCTTTCTCTCATCATCTACAGGCTACATCCAGAACCCCCTCAGGATCAAGCCTGGGACTGTTTCACTTTTTATTAAAAATGAAAATATTCTGACATTTCAAGAAAACGGTCGCATTTTGTATATTTGCCAATACAGTCGGAGCCAGCCAGTTTTCAATAAAGCGAAATAATTTCAGTAATTTGAAAGCTTGCCCTACAAAAACCACACAGGGAACTAGCAAAGGGAGCTTCTTTAGGGCAGGGCAGAAAAACTTCTTTGACCAGGTTATAACCCTTCTGGGGGGTTTAGCTCCTGGTAAAAAGAGAACTGCCTAGGGCCTTGAGAGGCTAATTACCAGGTAGCAGCAGTTTCTTCCAAAATGGAGCTCTCGCTGCAGGCAGTTTGGGCTTTTAGCATCTGGTGGAGAACAAGGTACAGTTACACATCAAAGAACAAAGAGTAAGTAGGAAGCCAACCGAGGCCCTTTCCCCAGAATGAGCAGGACTCTGCCATAAACCCTGGAGGGAAGCACAGTTTAACTGCGTACTTAAGATTCCCTGGTGGGGGTAAGCAGAAAGAACAACCATTGTAGTTGTTTGCACACACGGTGAAATTCACACCAAATTACCACTGCTTTTTATTTGATTTCTGAAAACATAAAGCAGTTCAAAGTGCTGCATGTGTGAAAGATGGGAGGCTTCAAGTTGCTTAGGATTAACTGCTCAGAAAGATTTCCAGTCCATGTGACTGTCCTGCAGGGTCCCTGGGAGTCAAACTGAACAGCTGCCTGACCACTAACCCTTTGCCGTCCACCATGTTGGTATGGTGACATCAAAGTAGGAAGAGAATTCTAGAATTAGATTACCTGAGAGGTGGTATTTGCTGGCGGACATCCTTCCAAAATCACAGGGAATGATCATGTGTCATTGCCAGAGGCAAGTTCCCTGGCAAGTCCCCTGGCAATGATCTGGATAAGTTACATCTGGCTCATACTCTTTGCTAGAGTAGTTGGAGGGTGTCTAAGTGATTCTCACCAGTCAGCATTCCCCTTTCTACTAAGGGAAAAAGCAAAAAGCCACAAGAATACCACCCTAATAGCAATCTTGCCCTCCACTCCTGGGACACTGAAATTATCATGCCTATACTGGAAAGGCTGTTGCAAAGTGACAGTGTAATAATAGCATTCTCAAGACAGTGCTCCCAGTCTTGTCGAAATTACTAGCTGCCCTGGGTAATTAAAACAATTATAATTGTTTGTTTCCATGTAATGCTTTAGCACTAAATCCATGTGGTGTGCATGATGCACAACCAGATTCTAAATGGTAGTTACATTTTTCTTTTAAACTTGAAATTGAATCTGTATACGTCTAGCAACAGCACAATGGAGACAATTAGAAATTACTCCCTCCAACCCGCTTGTTTTATAAGTGTTGGGATTGAGATCCAGAGCAGGTAAGACACTTGCCTAGAGTCTTTCAGCAGGTGAATAGCAGACCCGGGAATGGAACCCAGGTCCTCTGGCCTCCCGTAATAGGTTCATTTCATTACACCATGCTGTCCTTAAATACGAAGGAAAGACTACTATCTAAGTACATGCAGGATAAGAAAGAAATAAGCACCCAATTCTTGCATGTGGTGCTGAGGATGGAGCCCAGGGCATCGCACATGCTGAGTACACACCCTATCATTGAGCTGTACCCCAGCACGACACTTAGAGTTTGTTCTTTTGATTCACTCTTTCTGCTCATATTCAGTGTGTTTGCCTCCTGTTGTCATCTTTTCTTACCTTTGTTTTGTTGGCTGTCTTCTCTCTCCTGCCTATTGCTAGGGTGCCGCTCCTCACTTCCAGTTCCTGCCTCATCTTTCCTGAAAGCAAGTTTGCTCCATTTAGAAAGAGTGTTCACACGGTCGCCCAGCTGGGCTGTGAGCAGGTTGGGAGCCACTGTGTCCTGACAGTGGTGAAGTTTCACAGGAACTCTATAAAGAATCCCTTAAGGAATAATGCCTTCTCAAATGTCTGCCTGATCGGAATCCTACTACCCAGTGTATTTGGGTTACCATGGAAAATAGGTGTTAGCTACAAGAAAATCTTTTTGAACATGTTGAGGAAACCATCCCAAACTAAGTGGAGTTGGAAAGTGCATGTGGAATTTTAGAATCCACAAGAAAATAGTATTGTGATGTATAAAGTGTACACCAAAATGTAGAATCTGTGATGGATGGGATTGTAGTTGAAATTAATTTCCTTTTTATCAGAATTTTTGAATATATTTTTAAATAACTCTGCTGTATGGTTTATGAAGCGGTTATGAAAAATTGGGAAACAAACTGCCAGGTGAGCTGTCACTCACGGGGATCTCCCTGCCATTATTCATCTCAGTTTCCCACCCTTTCAGCGCCGTCATGCTGGCCAGGTGTGTTCGCTTGTCAACATCTGTGGGCTACACTAAGGGACCAGTTCTGCCCTCGAGCAGGAAGCCTATACAGGGCCTCTTCCTCAGTCTCCACTTGGCTCCTGGCCAAGCTCCACATTTGCAGCAATCACTTAGGACCTGTCGTTTCACTGCTCTTTTCCTACCCAGACGTCTGTCTGAGTTCCTGACCCCTGTTACTCTGGTTTCGTCACTTGACTTCTCGCTGCGTGGTACTGATTTGGAGCTATTGTGACAACCTCCTCTTAGCTCTGCTCTCCTCTTGACTGATCACATTTGTCACGTACACACACAGTAGGTGCTTCGTAATGATTTGCTGAACTGGAGGCTCAGCACTATAACTTAACTCAGGCCTCCTTGCAGCTTTTTGGCCCTTTCCTTCTAACCCACACTGGCATGAAGCCACCCATGTTCTTAGGGCTAACTCACAAATGTGAGTCTCGGAGTAATCTGGACTCTATAACCAAAGGCTAAGTGTCACATGTCCTCCTCAGTCTGGCCTACTCTGGGGCTGGCCCCAGGTTGGGGACCTCTTCCGTCTTCCTGGCTCAAGGCTATTTCAGTATGGCAGCTCTATCGTTCGGGTACGGAGCACA